CATGGCATTTTGCAAAATGATTGAAACACAGTTTGACAAGAAGATTAAGCAATTCCGGTCAGATAATGCTGCTGAATATTTTGAAAAATCCTTGAACTTGTTCATGGAAGATGCTGGCATGCTACATCAATCATCTTGTGCTAATACCCCTCAACAGAATGGGGTTACTGAGCGCAAGAATAGACATCTATTGGAGACAGCTCAAGCCTTACTATTCCAGCACAAGGTTCCCAAGCACTACTGGTCTCAAGCAGTACTTACTACATCATATCTGATAAATCGGATGCCATATAAGGTGTTGGGTATGAAAACCCCTTTCTCTGTTCTGTGTCCTACCCTTCCAGACTTTCCTCTTCCTCCTAGGGTCTTTGGTTGTGTATGTTTCATACATGTAAAGGATCCAAAGAAGAAGTTGGATCCTAGGGCTACGAAAGGAATCTTTTTGGGGTACTCTCCTACACAAAAGGGTTACAAGTGTTATGATCCTGTCACCGGAGATGTGGTCTTTTTTGAGTCTCAACCCTACTTTCAGTCTTCCCAGAATCCTCTTTAGGGGGAGACTAGTGGGATGGAAGAGGATTCTTATTCTCCCTTCTTTTTTGTTCCTCTATCTGCCTCGGGCCTTCCATCCTCTCCTTCTACTCCTCCTAGTTGTGGCATCCCTGGTGAACCTAGTGAGGCTCCCACTGTGCCTACTACCTCTCCTAATACTACAGATGATCCTGAGGGATCTAGTAGGCAGCAGAAAAATATAACAATCACCTACAACAAAAGGAAAAAGGGCCCCCAAACTCATGACAGCAACCAGTTGGATCTTCCTATTGCTCTTCGTAAGCCTATCCGTTCTTGTACTACTCGGCACCCCATTGCTGATTTTGTTTCTTACTCACGTTTATCTCCATCCTATCACTCTTTTGTGTCTGCTCTTTCTTCTGTACATGTTCCTTCTAGGTACTCAGAGGCTGTGTCTGACCCGAGGTGGAAAGAAGCTATGAATGAAGAGATGAAAGCTTTAATGAAAGCAAGGGCTTGGGAATTAGTGGATCTGCCAGAAGGGAAGAGCACTGTTGGGTGCAAGTGGGTGTTCACTGTAAAGCATAGGGAGGACGGGTCCATTGAAAGGTACAAGGCYMGRCTKGTRGCAAARGGGTTTACTCAAAAAGAAGGGATTGACTACAAAGAAACCTTTGCTCCAGTAGCGAAGCTCAACACAACTCGGGTTTTACGGTCATTAGCAGCAAATTTTTCATGGGAAC